ATTATATTATATTATATTATATTATATTATATTATATTATATTATATTATATTATATTATATTATATTATATTATATTGTTTGCAGTTGTTGCCTAAAATGTTTTTATAGAGTTGCCTTAAAAAACCAGCAGTCTCTTTTCTTTCCTGAAGACTAATATCTGTCTGTTGTATCGAGCACAATGATCAGTTCAAGTGCATTGTATTGTGAAGCAAAATGCACTCTGGTTTGCAATAAGACAGCAAAGTCATCTATTTATAATCCTCTCCTTATGGGGTGATGAAAAAGCGGTGGGAGAGCAAACATTTGCAGATCTCACCTTCAGCAGCTCGTGTTTCTCATCTGCTCCACTATCAGCAGTCTGCTGCTGTGCTCTGGAGTCTGTATGGGAGTAGACGAGGAGTGTTCAAGGGACAGTTGAACCAAAAATGAAAATTGACTCCCTATTTATTTTAGGTTATAAAACCGTTATGAGTTTCTTTCTTCTGTTGAACACCTAATAAGTTATGAATAAGTTATTCTGTTGTAGGGAAAAAATGGTTACATGTTTCCAGCTTTCCTCAAAATATCACGGTAACACTTTACGATAACAGTACATGAATAATGATGTGTTAATATGTAAACTGAACTACTTTATTATGAACTAATGATGAGTTAATGCACTAATCATGAACTTTAACTACAACATGAGTCACATGAGTTCATGGATGAATAACGGCTAAAACATATACTGGATAAGTTTGGCCGGTTCATTCCGCTGTGGTGACCCCAGAATAATAAAGGGACTAAGCCGAAAAGAAAATGAATGAATGTTACCAATATCTGCTGTTGTGTTCAACAAAATAAAGAAACTCAAACAGCTATTAAAGGTGCATGAGTAAACACTGACAGAATCTTTATTTTGAGATTATATTATATTATATTATATTATATTATATTATATTATATTATATTATATTATATTATATTATATTATATTATTCATTCAGGCGGCGCAGTGGGTAGCATGTTCGCCTCACAGCAAGAAGGTCGCTGTTTCGAACCTCGGCTCAGTTGGCGTTTCTGTGTGGAGTTTGCTTGTTCTCCCTCCGTTCGTGTGGGTTTGCTCCGGGTGCTCTGGTTTCCCCCACAGTCCAAAAACATGCGGTAAAGGTGAATTGGGTAGACTAAATTGTCTGTAGTGTATGAGTGTGTGTGTTTGTGGATATTTCCATAGATGGGTTGCAGCTGGAAGGGCATCCTCTGTGTAAAAACTTGCTGGATAAGTTGGTGGTTCATTCCGCTGTGGCGATCCCAGATCAATAAAGGGACTAAGCAGACAAGAAAATGAATTAACTATTCATTCATTCTCTTTTTGGCTTAGTGGACTCAGCTGCAACCCATCACTGAGAAACAACCACACACACTCATTCACACTCATACACTATGGACAATTTAGTCTCATGCTCTCCACTCCTCCATGACCACCACAGCAGCTGCTCAGGATACGGCCTGGTCCAGGGTTATGGAAACCTTGGGATCATCTCGTCGCTGGTCTTGGGTTGAATCAGTGGCGCTGCATAGTCTATATATCCATATAGGGCATAGCATGTGTATTATAGGATGTAACTCAGTTTTTTTTACCACATTTCATTATTATTGTTTATTTATTCGTTTGCTGGAAATTAGAACTGAAATTAGAAATAATTTTGAAACAAATCTTAGCGCTTAATAAACAATATTAATTATGTATAGGCTAATAGATGTCTGTGTATAGACCTACAACCTGTTTCCTTATCCACGAAAGAGAGTGAAAGTAAAGAATGAGGAAGCCCATTCTCATGCTGCAGATGCTCTGTTTAACTGTTTTCTCGCTAGTGAAGAGCAAACAGAAAATGCGCCATGGAGTGACGCAACTGACTCTTAAAGGGAGTGGGAGATGAGACTCTGGTTTATTGTCAAAACACACCCATAACTCATTAAAATAAGCTTAACCCTGTAATGCTGCGTTCACACCAGACGCGGAACGTGCGTCAGGCGCAAGTGATTTACATGTAAAGTCAATGCAAACGCAAGAATAGACATCCTGCAGCGCGATACGCGTAAATGATGCGGCACGAATGATGCGATATGCGCGAATGACGCAGCACGAATGACGCGATATGCGTGAATGATGCGATATGCGCGAATGATGCGATATGCGCGAATGATGCGGCATGAATGACGCGCTCTGCGCGAATGACGCGATATGCGCGAATGGCGCGATATGTGCGAATAGCGCAGCGCGAATTAATTCGCGAGAATTGCTTGAGTTATAAAGTCTGAACTTCAGCGGACATTCGCGTCCCGTTAACCAATCAGGAGCTTGCTCTTGTGGGGGCGTGATTGTGACGTACACCTGTTGTTGGAGTCCCGGGGGAAATTCTCCAGCCGACACCGACAACAGTTTATCAAACTAGGCTTGGCTCAGTCAGAAGCACTGCTGAAAGCCTCCATCATCCAGGATAAGTTTCTGGAGGAGTTGATGTACTCACAGAGTTGGATGCACCTCTAAAATGATCTAGTGGACTCAGACACGGCCCTAAACGTATCGACACTGTTTTTCAGCCTTCTTAAAGCACATGAGGTTATTTTCTAAATAAAATCCATGTTAGCCATTTAGCTATGAAGCTAGAGTCACCGGGCAGACAGAAGCCCTGCCGATCAAGCGAATCCACGTTTGTTCTGAAGTGAATTTGATGCGCGAATGAAGCGGGGTTTGACGCGCGAATAAAGCGAGTAAACTCAAATGCGTCTGGTGTGAACGCAGCATTAGACCATGCGCCACAGTGCAGAGCGATTTTTTCCATCCTAAAAATTCTGAAAAGTAGATTCTGACATGCCCTTAATGCGTTTGCGCCTAGATCATTAAAATAGAGCACCATTGAGTCACATTTTGAGAAAATTACTGTTGCGCTGGTCTGAAAATAGCTAAATATTGTGCCCTACATGTCTTGTACCTTATTGCGCTGGGTGTATGATACATAGGGCCCTATATCTTTTTTTTTTTCAATAAATATTACCTCAATGTCCCAAATAAACATTGACATCAACCCCATGAAAATGATGTCTGCTGCTGTCTTTACTGTCTCCACATGTTTGGATATGCAGCTCTGGAGACACAAAACCTGAGTGTAACCTTAAGCGATCA